TTTACTTTTTTGGCAATATCTTCACTTTATCTGTATTTGTAACATTTTAATTCACATTACTATAATCATATACAAGAGTAATATGCACAACGAAAATTTGAACTAATTTGCATCAGTATTTCCCATGCTATAGATGAAATCATTTTCTCAATTTCTGACAACTGATTCTACGATGTCGTGCTTTACCCATAATCCTTTGCTTGAGAATCAAGATGGCTGACGACATAATATCTAGAGAATGAAAAGTGATATTAAAAAAATGTAAATTGTATTCTCCTACATTTGTGGAGCTTTTTCTTGGGGGTCATGGTGCTGTTTGGCTTGACTTCCCCTTTAATCAAACATACATTTTTGTATAACTTTTGATCAAGCCAATAAAAAATTTGGGCCAAAATTAACATGATTGTTCATGATTATGAACACCACAGTTGTGGTCAGCATCTTGTGAATGCACATGGCCAAATGATGAATAACACTTGACATGAGATTTTCTAATACGAAAACATCAAAGTCCACAATAGCTCAGTTGTTGAAGGCTCTATCTACTGTGTTTGATAGTGTTGCTTCAAATCGCAACAACTTTTTCATAAAAACAAAGATGTGTGGATTTACATGAATAAAATGTACAGTCGCAGCAATAGGTCACATGACTAAAAATGGCATAAATGTAACTGCTGTTGTTTATTTAATGACAATTATTGTGAAGTACATCTGATTTCTCAAGACAATACCAGAAAAAAATATAAGATATTTTTTTTTAGCTCCATGGTCTATCAAAAATACAGTTGCAATGCCATCAAAACATGTTAGGTGTTGATCATTTGTAGAATGTTGGGAAAAGGCAAAAAAATGTTTGGAGTACAATTATGTAACCACAGTGTTATCAGATGCAAAGCCAAAGGGCTTAAAGCGGGGGGGGGTCAACTACAAGTGTCTACCCTGTGAGCCTTTGCGTTCTCAGCGTGTGTTTTTATCATCACTTGGGACTCAATTCCCGCAAGTACGCAGATGACGAGCCTCCCGCTTTAATAGTTAACACCCACCCCTACCACTGTTACTAAAGCGTGCCCCACCCACATCTGGATTGTTTATTTGCTGTACCACATGTTTTTTAGCGAATAAAACAGTTGTTACTTGGCCGTCACAGTAAAAACGTTGTATTGTACATTCTGTTCCGTGTCCGAACACGTTTGACGTAACTCTGGAATGCTTTCTTTGGAAGAAAAATAAAAGAAGAAAATTCTACAAGAGACATTGTACAAATAAAAAAACTATATCAATACAAAAATATCACACACATTTGACTGAGAAAAGCCAACAATAATTTTCGGATTTAAGTATAACTAATTATTATTTTTGTATCCTGCCTGTGAATCTATTATTTTTTTGTTTGCGAAGCAAGATATGCAATACTGCCCTCAAACGACCACCAAATACTTGTACCGTTGGGGGCGTAAGATATCTCGAACTTGTCGGCCATTTTGTTCTCTTGCCGGTGGTTTGTTTCGTCCTCGCGGTTAACTTATTCACGAAGGTATTTTTTCATATAATTAGTACACCCCTTTAAATTTGTTTTGACCGCATCTTGGTAGCATTTCTCCTGTATGTTAATTATTCTTTTCTTTCTATGAGCAATGTGCTAAGTTGACTTTGTTTAGTTCATTTCATTTGGGACATGGGTGTACGTGCAAATATCGAATGTGATTTCTTCTGTTCGGGTTTTCTGTCGTCAACATGTGTACCGGTCATTTCACTGGTATTATGGTATATATTTTATACTGCTGTTCGATTAATCAACTGGTCACTAAAATCATGCTTTGTATCAGGTCTACCAATAGTTGAACCGGTTAGTCTACAAAGAGTGGGGTCACGTTAATGCGCCAGTCTCTGGAAAGGGGCAGGTGATGAAACTATATGGTTGGTTCATTGGTTGGTTGAATACAGGTGGTGGCAGGGTCACAACCTATGTAGCAGCTTCAGTGATTTTCTTTTACCCAAAATTGGTGTAAATGAGGGGTGCAGAGCCATTTTGAATATTATGCTGAGTGATAAATTATTCAAAATGTTTCAAACCCCGAACCATGGCGAAACTTAAAGGGCGGTGGTCGTCGCATTACGCATGTGCGACATTTGTGTTGATAAAAATTCGTCATGACGTCTTCGATACCTTCCAATCACCTGAAAATACCTAATTAAAGCATTTTGTAATCGTTGATCTCGCGCGCAACAGTCAAAGTCGCCATCTTTGTTCATATGAGACCCATATATCTCGCGCATATGTGGCGCGTCAACTACCGCCCTTTAACACAAACTAGTATACAAGTGTACAAACCCCTAACCTAATTTCTCTTCAAAACTATATAATCCTAAAGTATAGCACTCATGCAATTAAAAATGGCATTCCTATGACAGGACCATTAGTTATCTTTAGAGTATGCCAATTTCCATGGGTTTGTTCACCTGTCTACACACATTGAATTTGACATTGTTGCTGATTATTCAAGAAATACTGTACTTTAAACTTTTTATTTGAGAGAATGAGATAAAGTCAAACTTTCATGGATGTGTCCATCTTATTACCATAACTCAAACTGAGAGGCACACAAAAACGCTGAGTCATATTTTTAGCCTATTTTGATGTGAATAGATGTGTAATTTTTGCTGCATCATTAGTTGAAAGAAAAATGTTGTAGCTCTTGGACCCCTTGTAATAATCCATAAATGTCAGTTGATCAATGTACCTACTGCTTTTCTCCACAGGTCAAGATGAGTTCAGTAACCCCTATCCTTAGTTTCAAGAAATTGGTATCATTGAGACCATACGTAAAGGCACTTTGGGTTGATCTTACTCCAGGACTCCTGCTCACAGGATTTGTCATGTCTTACATCACATTCACTGGATGTAAGTAGTTTATGTTGTATCCAACATGCTTGCAAATATTCTCTGAATTGCATTATTTGTGCATTTTTCACCTACCATAAAAAAATCTGTTATGAGCTTCTATGTACATGTAGTAAACCTGTGTTTATCACCAAGAGTGGAGTGATCTGATTAGTGAGGCTGACAGGAAGTCCTTCATTGGTAACCTTGTCGTTGTGAAATACTTTTCTCTTGGAATTTACGGTATTTTCGCTGCAGGGATAATTCAGTTATAATAAAATCCAGCAAATATATTTTTGTTCCTATAGTTTAAATTAAACATCAGTGAAAATAAATTTCACACAAAACATTCAAAAATCTTTCAGTGAAAATTAATTCCAGCTAAGATAACGTATTTTACAGTAACTATGGTTTGCTGTAGCTAAAGCAAACTGTGACATGCATCAATTGTCTCAATTGAAGCATACATACAGGAATCTCTTTAATATCACAAGTCAATTAATTGCAAAATTTTGTGGTAATGACATATCCTCGGTCCGTAAGACTGACAGTCACAGTGCCAAAATTTTAGTCTTCGTTAACCACCACCTAATTACTAACATTTTCACAGCTACCATTTGACATCTGCTGTAGTGTGCATTTAAAGTTGAGTTTAATCAAGATAGTGGTGATGTTTTTTGCACAGGTTTTAAAAACACTGGGATGTCTTGTATACAATGTTTTTTCGGTTGTGGTTAGGTCCTAAACCATTAAGCTAGGAATCTCTGTAGCTCTCTGTTCCAAGTTCACATTGAATGTTTAACTATTGTCAAAGGCATATACCCGGTACAATTTGGGTTTGGTGAAGTTCATTTTAAATTGATTTTCTCTTTCAGTAAAAGCACAGAAAGCACAAAAGGAAATAGATACGGGTAAGAAATACTTTGTTACAATTTAAGAATTCATAGGCCCACGAGTGTTGCATGCTTGCATATTAGTTGCGGATAATGAATTGAAACCATCTCACTGGACAACCATTTACATGTACCTTGTCAATGTGGATTTTACTCTTAATGGCAGTCCGAGCAGGTTTGTTCATCAAATAATGATTTGATTTTATTTGTTACAGCTTCCAAACCAGCGCATTAATGAAGACCTGTGATCTATATAGTTTGTGGTTTATTATTGAAATGTGGTGATATATCTATAGTGTGGTGTGCCTGTTTACCAAATTACAGCACTTTAGAAATGTACAATGTTTTAGTACTATTTCATTAATTCGTTTTTGAATCAACAATAAAATACTTGTATGGTTGGTTGATGTGATAAATTAAATAAGAATGGATTAAACACCAGGTGATGTAAGGATATTCGTTGTAGATTGCATGTATTGTAAACTTGTACATGATGCACGTCTGTCAAGCAAGTCATTGTAAATCATAACTGCTGTTGATGAATGCATCTGGAGTTGTTACTCTGGCACCCGGGGGCCGGGGCATGCAGAATTTTATCTCACTGGTCTGCTTCCATGTTAAAGGTAGACCAGAAAAAGAAACAATGATCAAATGTTTTGTATGAATCCAAAGGTAACCATTCTGTATCTCTACAATTCATTCTAGCCAAATACAATACAGGAACTTTCATAGATTCATTAAAAAATACACTGATTTTGCATGTATATTTTAAAATGAACTTTTTTGATTTCATTCAAGTTCATACCAACATTTTTTTTGTAAAATACTTAATTACCAATAGCATACAAATTTATATAAAATCTGTTAATTAAATTCACACCCAGTAGCGGTTTGTAATGTGCTGATGGAAGGAACAAGTGAAAATAAGAAATTCAAATGACATTGCATAGAAATAAGGTCAAATAATGATGTAGGTAATACAAAAACGAATTTGTAAAGTGTTTATTTTACAAAACATTGGTGTACAGATTCAGAATTTGAAAATGGAACCTCAAAGATAAAGTGGCTGGTACTTGTAGTTACAAAATATTAAAATGGATTAAATAGTTTTTCTGAATATCTCCCATAATTTGCGGTATAAACATTTGTCCAGATTAAGTTTTATCTAATTCATGACAATCGCTCCACAAAAATTAACTGATCTGTAGTTTGATTTGGATGAAATGACTGGTTTAAGAAAATATCTGACAAATATATGCAGTTTTCTAGTTTGAATATATTTATGGTACAGGGGTATTGCTACATTGTCTAATTTGTATACAATTTGAGCCAGAGGACAACCTTTTCACCATCATTTCCTTCTTTTCATCACAAAATAGTCTTGTTTTGGGACAAAAATTAAAAATTGACTCAAATTTAGGGCTCATTTCCAGAAATACTGTAGAATACTTTATTTTGGCTTGAAATTTATTTTCGCTGAAGGGATGATTCCGTGAAAATAAAATCCAGCGAATATACTTTTTTTCCTATATTTCACATTAAACTCATCAAAAATCAGTGAAAATTATTTCCATACAAAAAGCCTTTTCAGCAAAATTAATTCCAGCGAAAATAAAGTATTCCACAGTATTGAAGAATACAAGTTAAAAGTGCAGAATAATTTGAGCGAGAAAGTCTGGTGTTGAAAAGGTTAAATGAGTTATTTAAATATCTATGGAACACACGCTTGCATAAAATTGCCACTCATGCTAAAGCCAAATTATCCAATAGCCACTGCCTAAATTGGAATCACACCTACTTTATGATGAACTTCAGACCAGATTAGATTAGATTTTCATACAAATCTGTGCACATTAATTACCCTGTTCCATTATGTTGGTAGCAGCTTGCCCAAAAACATTGAAAAACTGTACATGCTGATATCAGTTTTTGCATATTAATTAGTTCATTTGCATACTTTTCTACTTGCTTATATCATAGTTTTTTCAACTGGATCAATACTTTATACATGCATACCGAATATTGACCCTAGTTTGGAATTTGTGGACATTTATTTACAAATTTGCATGAATATTTTCACCTTGTATTTTGTATTCTAACAACAGTGTGGTCTAATAGATTCAATAGTTTTTGAATCAATCTATAAAGCAGTACGAGGCTAAAATAGTTATTCAATAAATAAACACACTGAATTGCCATAAGGGTTACAGCATACATATGTTTCCCAAGGAAGTTGCGGGTGCTCTGATCATCGTCCAAGGGGAAATAGTTTTTGTATAGACCACAGTCACTCTACCGTGTATAGACCAAAGAGAAATGTGTTTGCTGTTGTCGAAACAAGGTAATAGGTGTTTTAAAATACACCACATCCACACTGAATACTTTCATAGTATCTCTACCATCTTATCTTATAGACCAACCATTTCACTACTGATATCCCATAATTTCTTAGCTGTGTCATCATCTCTGGCTTGTGGTGGTACTTCTTTAGGTACGCAGTCACTGAAAAAATGTATAATAAAAACATGTTTATTTTTCAAAAAAACATAGAAATATTATTGAATTATAGTTCAGTATTTTCAAAAAATTATCATTCAGTCACAACAACACAGTCCCCATACATTTCCATTGTAAGATTATCTGGGAGTGTACATATTTATTTTTCAAAACGCATAGGAATATAACTGAATTTTATTTCAGTATTTTAAAAAAATTATCAGACAGTCATGACAACACAGTCCCTGTATATTTCCATTGTAAGATTATATGTGAGTGTACATGTCCCAATCAAAGATGTGAATGCAATCATTCAAGGGTAGATTAAATAAAGGCTAAATTATCTAATTTCAACAAATCCCATCCATGTGCGACTGAAATCCCAAAATGTAAAAATGCCTCCTACATTGTCTGTGAGTCGGCCATCTTGAATACAAACTTGAAAAATTTGCTACGTTCACACGAGCCGGCTCGAGCCAAGATGGCTCCAATAAACCCTCGATCGTGTATATGCATCAGGTGCCTATTATCGAAGCCAAAATCATGCCCTCAATCATCTTCTTCAAGTAACCTCTCATTTCAATTATGACGGAGACAACATCTTTCGTAATTTCATGCAATTTCCGGCTTGACGAAGAGATATGCGTCCTAATATATATTTGGGAGAGTAAAGAATTACTGCGATAGATTGATAGCTCAACAGAAAACAGAAAAAAATGGCGTACGAAATTATGCGACAAAAACCTGAAAGAACGACTGAATGGAAACTTTTTAAAGACACTAAAGATAAAAATCGTCGAAGCGATCACGGTACGGTGACGTGTTCCTAGTAGGTTTAGATTTTTCCACAGTTCCTCTATGATAGATAGAGAGGATAGATGGACTGTGATTCTTCCCAGTAGTTTAAATATCATTACAGTTGAATAATTACAAAATGGTAATTTTGCATGACAATAACTTAAGCAAATAATAGGCTGTAACACATTTTAGCTGCCGTGTTTACTGTTTATTCGAACATGGAGATACTTGTACCTAAATCATAACACCAGTGCATTGTCTTTTTCTACCTCCATGCTCAGACTCGCGACTGTTTCTTTTTTTTCTCCCATCTCAACAGCATCGTGCCTTGTAAAGAAACAACACAAGCAGGACACCAACATCGTTTTCAGTCCAGTTTTTTTTTTACATACTAGTAATTATTTGAGGGCACTGTTTCGTTCGGCTCTGATCGAACTGAATCAAACTCTGGCAGATCTCGGCTCTCGTTCGGCTCCTGATCGTATGAACGCATTGGAGATAATCTCCTGTTAATCCGTGGGAGGAGCAGTAGTTTGGCTCCAATAGGAGTATGGCCATGTGAACATAGCAATTAGCATGGTGTCTTAGCATATCATTGTTTATGGCTGATGCTGAAATTACTGCTGGGTAGATAAAATTATAATGGAAAGTCTAAGTGATCATAAATCATGTATATTTATTTAAAAATTTGTACAAATACTAGTCTCAAGATCTTAGAATACAATTTAAATTACCTGAATGCTACAAATTTTAGGTTTCCACCCCTCATATTAAAGGACGGTGGCCATTGCGTCACGCATGCGCGAGCTATGAGACTCATATGAACGAAGATGGCTACTTTTGCTGTTGTGCAGGCCAACGAGTACAAACTTTAGGTTACCAAGCTTAAATAATTTCTTTGGTGATTGGAGGGTATCAAAGGAGTCGCCAACAGTAATTAGTGCATGTTTTATTTTCATAAGAATAATGCATTGGATTGTGGGAAAATCATTGTTTATCACCACAGATTTCGCACATGCACGGCACGGCGACTACCACCCTTCAACACAGTTTACATACCTAAAATAAACACCACTTGTATTTGTTAATGTCTCATCCAGCGCTAAACAGATTGTAGTTTGTGCTCCTTGCTGAGAGGTTTTAAAAATCATAAAATAAAGAATCTTCATCAAAACCGGTTTCCATATTGAGTGGTCCTGGTTCATGTATCGACCTAGTTCAGTGGCTACTATGCCAGGATGAAGTGAATTAGCCGTCACTCCCGAACCTACCAAATGAATATCAAAGTTAAGTTATTGCTGATTGAAAAAAAAGATGGATGGGTTTCAAATATGTAATTGAGTGCTAAACAGAAAATGGGGAAAGAGTCCTAGACATGAAAGCTGCTCAAGAATAAACTAACAAGGTTTAGGTATAATTTAAGACAGTTTGCCAACATTAGGAGGGCAAAGATGCGTGAAATAAGCATGTCACAAGGATGTAATAAGCATGTCACAAGTGTGAAATAAGCATGTCACAAGTGTGTAATAAACATGTTAAAAGTGTGAAAGAAGCATGTCACAAGTGTGTAATAAACATGTCAAAAGTGTGAAATAAGCATGTCACACCTGTATAATAAGCATGTCACAAGTGTGTGTTAAACCTGTTAAAAGCGTGAAGTAAGCATGTCACAAGTGAGAAATAAACATGTCACAAGTGATATCCCTGATGAAATCACAAATAAAAAGTCATTGGAAATGACACAGTCCCCGTTAAATTTTTGAAAGTTCTCTTTGTGCTTGTCATATTAAAACGGGGGGGGGGGGGGGTGTCGCGAGCGTGTCCTTGAAACTTGAGTTCCAAGTGGCGTATACAACAGATTGTTTATTTACATCAAAACATGTGTTCCGTGTAGTAGTAATATGGCCAAAAATAAAAACAGCCGTTATTTGGCCATCTTTGATCTGATTATGAAACACACTGATATGTATGATGTGTGTGCCAAATACAAATGAAAATGGTACATAAATTG